CAAAATAAAAGCCTCTTCCTTATACACACTCATACATTCTGGCATATTGCTCATAGCCATTTGTAATTTCATCACTGCAATGGCTCTGAGCATGCGGGCGGAGCCCGCCATTGGTGATTTCATCACTGCAATGGCTCTTAGAAGGCGGGCGAAGCCCGCTAATGGTGATTTCATCACTGCAATGGCTCTTAGCAGGCGGGCGGAGCCCGCCATTGGTGATTTTTTTCATCGCTGCAAGGGCTCCTAGCAGGCGGGCGGAGCCCGCCAACTGCGCTTTACCCACTGCGGTTCAATATGGACAACCCATATTACCCTTGTGCATCATATGCTGTGCACGTCTATTTCCCAGATTTCAGCACAAGTGGCACACAGCTCTCTTTGCCCATGACCTAGCCCTCTTTCCTTCCCTCAGCAGCCCTCAAAGGCGTAAGCAGTTGGTCTGGGGAGCCTCAATGTAACTTGCCAGGGCCGTATTGGCCCAGTTACCCAGATGGGCAGTAGGTGGCCCCCCTCAAAATTTCTTTAGAAATTTTCTAGTTATTATTATTATTATACCAGTTTTCACAGGTAAAAGTGCTTCACAGTAAAAATGTAAAACAACAAAACAATGTAAAATACATTTATATCAACATTTTAAAAACAAAAGGAAATGTAGAAACAAAGCCATAAAAACCAAACGTCTGATTAAAAGCCTGCTTGAATAGCAGCGTCTTCAGTTGCTTTTTAATAGAATCAGCAGAATTCATCCACAGCCTGGGATGAAGCGCCCCCCCCTGGATTTAACGCTCTAACCATGTTTGGCCCAGTAAGCTCAGAGTGTGGAGGAACTTCACTGGCAGGCCTCTGAAAGTAAGAACAAGGATTCTGAACTGGAAACCAGTGCTGCTATTACTGGTGTCATCTGCTTTCTTTTGTTCATGTGAGTTCAGAGCAGATTTCTGGTAGATCTTCTTCCTGCTCAAACACGTAAAAAGATTTGCAATAGTCAAACAGTGAGGAGATAAAAGCGTGAATAATCATTTCCATTCGACCACCAGTGGCCTGAATGTGGAATATTCCTCAGCTTAAAGTAACGGTTGCTGATTGTTTAGAGCGGTTCTCCAGGACATTGCTGAATCGAACACCTGAGCTGCTGAGGCTCGGCTCAACAGCAATATGTTGCTTTCTTGAAGGGATTTCACTTTCAGGGGCGATTAGAGATAAGATATGTTGTTATGCCCAAAACTAAGATCAAAATTCTGGTCTCAGACGTAAATAAAAGGAAATAAATTTTGGGTTAAAATGTTGGAGTTTGGTTGATTTTCTTCTAATTTCTTTCTGTTACTGATTGACTTTATCAGTGTAGTCATTCTGAGATACATTCTTAGATTTGTTCTTCTTCCTCAGGGTGTCATCCCCACCGCACAGCGGGCAGCCATTGTGGTCGGAGTTGAACTTCCTGTCTATGACATCACAAAAAAGCACCTCCTTCGCTCCGGCCTGATGGGAGACACCATTTTAGCACATTTCATGTACGTCTCTATTCTCTGATATTTTATTTTATTTTTTAGGTGAATTAATTCCTACATGTTTTACTCAGTTCCAGTTTCACGTGCGGGCTGGCGGGGGCGCTGGCCTCCAACCCTGTGGATGTGGTCCGCACCCGTATGATGAACCAGCGGGTTTTATCCGGGAGCCCCATGTATAAAGGAACGCTGGATGGTCTGATGCAGACATGGAGGAACGAGGGATTCTTTGCTCTATATAAGGGATTTTGGCCAAACTGGCTGCGACTCGGTCCCTGGAACATCATCGTATCCTTTAAACACTAAAACATCCTTCTGTTGTTATCAGCGTTTAGTCTGTAGAGACTGTCAGGACTAAAGGTCCATCTGTACGTCACGTTTTTTATTTTATCTTTATTGATTCATTTACAAAACATAGTCCTCTACATGGGAGGTCTTCAGCAGGTCTACAGAGGGACTGCATGGGGTTCCCACTGATTGAAATGTCTTTAAATCCACATTAACATGAATCCAACAGACTGCAGTAAACAGATAAATGGAGGCAGAAGATGTCTTTCAGTCATCAATGCTCACATTCAGCGACACACATCAAGCTGGGCACCGTTTCATTCACAACACCTGTCCCATCAACCAGGAAGCAGAAATACTTTTAATAATCCCAGGGAGGGATTACTTTAGTTACATTACTCCATCTGTAATAGAGTGACTGTTGGACCAGTTTGATAGAACACTATTTGATAAAATATATAATCAGGGGGTCCCCGCTCCGTCTCACCATCTGTTTGGGTCCTTTTTTTCCTGAATTCAGCAGTCAAGTGAGACACATTGCAAATGGAATAATTTACATTTAAAATAAGAATAAAAGAACTGCAGTCTCTTATTTTAAGTGCATTTAAATCTAATTATCTTATTTTAATGGTAAAAATGCTCGTTTCATCTCAATCATCTTATTTTCCAACTCAAATTAAGGGTAAATAAACTTATTTTATGCAGGTTTCCACAGGTCATTAAAGTCATTAAATTGTTTTTTAAATTTAAAGCCTTAATTGGCATTAAAAAAATTTAAACGAGATTATTGTGACATTTAAAATGCTTTATTAAAAAAAAAAGTTTATTAAAACAATATCATCAGATATATTGCGATATATTTGGTCGTAATTGCTTCCGATTGATCGTAAAGCTTTATGTTCTGAAAAGAGGCTCAACGTGGAGAAAAAGCCAGAGAATGGAGATATTGCTCATAAAAAAAAAAATGGCTGGAAAGCGAGGAATTGGGGACATTGCTGCAGCCTGTCGACGGTAAAGATGACCAAGGATTTTACCGTGTTTATTTATACGAGATTCAAGGGGAGTTGTTGATTCTAACAGCATTAAAAACATTAAATTATAGTTACTCATTCCTGTATAAATCCTGTTTAACAAATGTTTAATAAATTATTTTCAGAGCGTTTTGCTGTTTTCAGCTGAGCAGCAGAAAAGGAAACCATCAGACCTACAGAGGCTCACAGTAAATTCATCTGATTAATTTAACCTTTAGAAAAATGTTTAAAGTAGAGAAATTAGCCTCCTCTAAGAGACAATCATACCTTTATCTAGAAAATGTCCATTATTCCTCTTGTTAAAAACCTTTTTTTTTTTCATTTTTAGCACAGTTTTCTATATTGTAAATTGATCATGTAAACATCAGGCTTTAAATACGATATAATTAGGAAATATGCTCCTAATACATTCCAATTTTTTTATTATTTTTTTATTTTGCATCATGGTAGCTGGGACTCCAGAACAGATCTAGATCAACTAGATCCTTGATCACACCCATCCCCTCTGTCCAGGTTAGATGACTATTTGCTAGTAAAATGAAGGATAATTCTCAGAAATATTTATTGTCTAATTCCTGGCAGGCTTCTCTTTCAAAGCGTTTTCCTTAACAGGAGTCCAGTTCTTCATCACGTTCGAGCAGCTGAAGAAGCTCCCGTTTTAACGGGGGGGGGGGATGTTGGTCTGCTGGACTTTATGTGGAGTTTATGGTCACCAGCAAAGAAGGAACCTGCCAGTCCGCCTGCACTCGCATCCAGTCCTGTTTTTACTCTCCATCTGTGCTTTCACTCCATTTCAGTTGCTCTCCATCATGGCGGACGCTCCTCTGGCAGCTAAAGCTTTCGGAACGATGGAGACCAGATAGGTCACTGGGTTCCTTTACAGCTGAGAAATATCAAACATTATTATTACAGGTTTGTTTTTATCTGTTGAAATGAATGTTTTCTTTATTTATTCAAACATCATGATGGTGTGTGACGCGGCTGCACAGGGAAAATGGAAAATAATATTTTTAGCCAAGGTGTTCATTTAACAGATGAATGACAGGCTGGCTTTTATCAGCTTCCCTGACTGACATGAAAACATCTCAGATTCTTTGTGAAAAGATGATCAAGTTCAGAAGGTAAAGTTAGAGAATCCACCTATGGGAAGATATTTACCCCTAAAACCTTTTAGGGACATTTTGAGAAGCTCTAATTCTGAGCCAAAGTCTCCTCAGAGAACCAACAGACGGATCAGAGTAGCTTTCTTTTAAAGAAGTTTATTTATTTCATTTTGCCCCAGAGACGTGCTTCTCTGTATTTATTCATCGCCGCCATGCAGCACCTGCTGCAGCAGATCCTGTAAACATCTGGACAGGCCTTCTTCCTCTGAATCAGCTGTTTTCAGTCTGTCGCTCTACTTTGTGCCAAAACTGCGATTCATTGAATGCATTAAGCAGACCAGATTTAATTATTTGATTTCTTTTTTTTTTTTAAAGGTCCAAAGTTGTTACACCTAAATATTCATATTCTGGATTACCAAACATGATTCAATATCAGGTGTTATTTTATTTAAAGGTTTTTCATAAATCTGAGGTAGCTAACATTTAAAAATGATCTAAGGGATCCTGATCAACTGTTTCTTAATTAGCACTTTAATTTAAGATAAAACTTCTCCTTCATTCCCGTCTAAACCAATAAAAAAAAAAAAAGATTTTCTAAATGTAAAAGATGTCCTCTACTGGAGACCAAAGTGCTCCCAGTTTGCCAGCCGCAGCTGCTGTTCTAGTTGGAGGATTTCTATACTTTTCTAATGTTTACAACAATTAAAATTTGGCTGCTTAGATCCGTTCTTCATGTGAAACATGCAGACGGCCTTGGTGTGAAACCTGAGGAGCTTCAATCATCAGTCTAACGATGGTAAAGTTATTTTTAAAACTACAGCTTAGAAGCTTTATTCCTCATTTTTTTTAAGAATTGGGAATATTTTGAAGTTTACTGATGAATCATCTGAAGAAAGACTTGAACATTTCCAAATAAAATGTTTGCAGGAATTAAAATAGTCAAATTACAATCTGAGGCTAAATGTCTCCTATACTTTTTATTTTATTTTAAACTATGTTCTTCAGTGAAAGAAAAGTGGTTCTATGTCTAATATCTACTAGCATAGAAACACCGCTGTCTGTTTTAGGTTCAATGAAATGGAAATTAGATGAAAGTCAAAGTATTCTCAAATTATTATACAAGAGATTAAATCATTTTCCCATAGAATAAAATACTTTAATACAAAGAACATATTTTGATTGTCCTCAATAAATGGTGTTTTCTAGATTAATTTTTTTTGACAGTTGTGACCTTTTTTTTTTTTAGATTCTGGTGTGACTGTGTTTCAGTTTGTTGAATCACGTTTTACAAAAATCAGGTTTGCGTTTTCGTTTCACAGCATGTGTGAGTTTACGGGTTCCTTAGAGAAGGAAGTGATGATGATGATGATGATGTTTGGTGAGGTAGACATTTGAAGCACCTTCTCCTCGGGGTTCTTAAAAGTTCTCCAGTTTTTGTTGCTGTAGAATCAAAGCCTGACTGAGCCTCTCGGACCGTCTGTTTACCGTCTGCAACACTGAACTATCACTTCTTTTTGTAATTTCTACTGGGAGTTGTTGGGATTCTTGTCATTTGCTTGTTTATGTACTGCTGTTGATGATGCAGGGATGTAGGTGCATCGGGATTGGTTGTTTTAAAAAACATAATGAAACTGAATAAATGTAGAAGAAGTGGCCGTTCTATCAGCTGATGCACAGAACCAAACATCTTTAGAAAGTAGTGAACTGTCCAAAGAAAAGTGCACTTTAACGTCACTTTTTCAGCAAAGTGTAAGTCAGCCGGTTAGAAGGCTATGCCCATAGAAGGCATAGAAGGCATAGAAGGCAGTCATAGAAGGCTATGACTGGTTCATTTGAAAATGAACCAGTCAAAATGTTTCTGTTGCATGAAATGAAGTAAATGGATTCATATGATTTAAAACTCTCTAAATAATCAGTTTTTAACCCGATAAAACAATCTGTTTCACAGCATGTAGCTATTGGCAGCTTTGCACAATGTGATTGGAAAAAAGTTGACTTATTTTCAATATATTGTGATTGTGTTATTAGAAGAGACGTTTCCTTTTAATTTCACTTAGATAAACTCAGAGGTCAAAATCTTCCAGGAATCAAAATGGGAAATAATTTGACCTCATTTATACCTGAAAGTTAACGTTTAGAATTTTTTATTTATTTATTGGACTAAACGTAATATTTCAGTAATAAAATGAAATTCACAGGCTGATTCAGTTGATCTTTCAAACACAAGATGCTTCCTTAGTCATAATGTGGCCAAAACAACATATTTCACTTTTTAATATGTGAGTCTTATTTAAAGAAATAAACAAATAAAAACCTAAACGATGTTGCTTTGTGTTTAATGATTGAGTTTAGCATCTGAAATAAATGTAGTTTAGAATAATTTTGTGACTCAGTGACTTTCACCTGTATGATGCCATATTTTAAAATAATTATTAGGGTTTGTGTTTAATCTGCTGCATGCTTTGAACTCAGGGTTCACTAAAATGCTCTAAAGTTTCTGCTGCCATCAGATATATTTCTGAACTTGCGCAATGAACCAGTTTGCACACAGTGGATGTGTTGGATGTCCGTCATATAAGTGGGAAATGTCTTTAGTATTCTGCTGCTGGTAAAGAAAAGCTTTTCATTTTGTCAAAACTGGTTGAACAAAGCTGTTCTATCAGGAGAAGATCTAATTAGGAGGTTAAATCTGAGAGGATGGGCCTTATCACACCTATTTATCCCGTTTCTTCATGTTTAACTTGAATATTTTCTCTAAATCTGCAGCAGCTTCCAGAAAATGTTACAGATGGTTGCATTTCCAAACCTCACCACTAGATGTCCTCCTTTTGCAAAGTCCTGGAGGAAAAAACTAAGAAATCTGAATAAAGTTTGTATTTGGAGACAATTAAAGCCTCACTTTGATTCTCCTCTAGATATTTGTTTTTCAGATGCTTTGTGATATTTTCCCTTTGTAAATACTTGAAATCTTCTGTCTGCTAAATAAAAACGGCTGCTGTTAGGAAATAGCGCAAATAATAATAATAATCATGCTTGTTTTATATCTATGAATTCACCTGTTTTTTTATTTTTGGGAGAATATTTATAAAAGTAATTTTCCTCCTTACATGTGACTTCCTCCATGATTCATACATTAATATCTCAATCCTTTCCCCCTGAAACTTTTTCCACAGTTTAGAGGATTTATTTTTACCAATCTGCAAACCAAAGCATTCAACACGTAAAGCACGTTCTGAAATATCTGCTTCTTCTGGTTAAATGTTTCCTTCAAATGTCTGAATTATTCACAGCAGTGAATTAATAAAGCAGTTAAATTCAGAGCTATCTTTATTCATACATTTCACTCCATGAATGTTTATACTACAGCTTTTATCTTCATTCTTTAAATAAATGACCTGATCTGAATGTTGATGCTTGTCTGTTTTTCAGAAAACAAACTTGTATATTTTAGATTTTTTTTTTTTTTTGTAAGTAAGAAGGAAAACAGGCAGAACTGGAACAGCTTTTAGAAACTGAGCAGCAGAATGTTGAAGAACAACATCAGGAGACTTTATGAGGCAGCAGAAGAAGCAATGGCTGTGAGGGATGATGGTCATCAGTGAAATCCTTTCCCAAACGTTACTTGAAGATCACTAATGACTCACTGAACAGTCACTGAAGCAAGGCAGACTTTAATATTCTCAATTAGGTCAGAGATTTTCACAATAAGAGACACTCGCTTATATTGTAACTGCTGAGGTTTGGAGTCAGATTTAGGGAACTCAGAGACTTCTTGAACTTGAAAATGGCGGATAGAAAAATAGTTTCTTAAAGGAAAAGTCTGTCATATTCAGAATTCAAACTTCTGAAAGTTCTTTAAATATGAAATTATTACTGTTCAATAAATGATCAGTGTGTTTTTATTTAACCTCTTATAAATCCACCTCGTTCTGGGTAATCCTCGTCTCTTCTGCATACCCAAATGGAAAAGCAAATAACTTATGAACTGTAAGCCAAAATTACAATGTGCAATACATTATTTGAAAGCGAACATACTCTACTTTCCCAATATATAAATTAAAATTGGATGACTAGAACACAGACCAACCTGCATCAGTTAAAATATGACTCAAAGGTTTTTTGTTTTTTTATTCTCTGAAATGATAGGTCTTTTTTTAACCGCACAAATAAAGACATTCTTGAGAAAAAGTAGGTTTCATTGTATTATATTTGTTCTACATCATATCAACATCTACATCAAGCTATAACAGTTCCAGAGCTGTGGGGCTTTGAACTTTTGATGTCAGCTTGGAGCGGCGCTCAATGGCTCCACCTGCTGGTAAAACGTTTACCGGTGGAATTTTATGCGTTCTGAGTTATTACCCCCACTTAAGACCAACTGGGTTTTAAGAGGTTAAGAGTAATGTGAATGTGCTTTACTGGAGGCATCCATGTTTGTCAAAGAACACTACTGCCACCTACTGGTTAGTGACATTGTCACGGTGCGGTATCGGCTGTTGATCAAGTCCCAGTGCTGTATCTGGTGTTTGTCACAACGCGCTATTATCCAAGTCATCTTGAAAACATTCTTCTTCCAAATGTTGGCTACATATTACGGGTTTTTTCTCTGAGCAGAAGTTCGATGGCAAATCCTCCCTCTTCAAGTTGGCGATCCAACGACCAACCCGTCCGTGGAGGATCAGGAATCAGAAAGGTGGAATAACTCTTTGTTTCACTTTTACCCGATGTATTCCAGCATCCAGCTGCCATGCACGTGGGCATTGTCAGTTTCACTATAGCTCTGGTGAATTTCAATGGTGAAGTCCTCTGGAAATCTTCAATAATTGTTGTTGATTGCAGATGTGTCTAGTAGTTCCCATTGATTTAGCTTGGAAAGCGGGGAGAATGGCGCTAGGCTTACCGCACCGTGACGTCACTGCTGGAAGATGGCAGGGGGGAGGGGCTACTATATTTGGGCAAAAATTGGCCGCTCCCAGACTCAGTGATCACAATGAAAATTTGTTATTTTGCTCTTTTACTGATTAACGCTAAATTAATTAAATCAATGTGAATGTATTAGTTTTAGATTTAAATAATGATTCATTGATTATTCCTCGCTGACCGACTTTTCCACTAATAGTTCAAATTGAATCCATAGTAAAGTTTCAAGGCCTAATCCTGTGTTCACCAACACTCACATAAAGGTCCTCCCTTACTTTAATAAACCAGAGGGAATGGAGGCCCCTGAGGGGGCCCCGCTCCCTGGCGAAAGCCCCGGCCGGGCCCTGCGGGGCAGCCCCCAGGAATCCACCTCCGAACACCGAGCACCACCAGTCTGGTCTGACTGCTTATTAGGTTCAGTGGGTTGATTAATTTTCTACATGAGAAAGGCTGATTTTAATTGGTTAATACATTTTTATTTGAAAACTATTTCATGTTTTTATTCAGTATAACTAAATAAATACAACCGGCCATTATAAAAGACTGTCCTTACAAACTGAATTATTCTATGCAAGGCCCTAATCTGTAACTTTTTCATCATTCTGCTTCATTCTATCTCTATTCTCCCTCCCTGCAGAATCTGTTAGTTCAATTCTATTCAGTTTATTTCTATAGCTCCAATTCACATCATGTCATCTCAGGTCACTTTCCAGTTCACCAGATCATCCAGTCAGATTGATTCAAAGTTTTCTATCTAAGGAAAACCAGCTGATTGCATCGACTCATTGACTCTTCAGCAATCCCTCACACTAAGCATGCTTGTAGCAACAGTTACAATTACTGTTTAAAGTGGAAAAGCAGCTTTAAGGGGAAACAAATTTAAAATGCAACAGAAAATCTTGATTTGGGCTAAAAGAGCTGGAACATTTCAGCACTAAAGTGAGAGC